AACGGAAATCAAGTAGATGGGAAGGCGTAGAGGGGATGGGTAAATTCACACCTAATGGGTATAACACACACTACCTGGGTGAAGGGCACACTTACAACTTTGACTTAAACTGTACAAAAGTGAATTATGTAACCAAAATGTGTATACCCCCATGATATTCTGAAATTAGAAGAAAATTTTAAAATTTGTTAAAAAAAAGGTGGCAAGTTAAGGGTTGCAAGATATGGTTCTTGGAAAAATTCAGGAGCTAACAGACACCACACCCAAGGGATTAACAGAAGATTACTTGACGGAGATGAGTGCTTCTGAATCAGTGCCAGATGAGGAAGAAGACATACAAGAAGCAGGGCCAGAAAACAAACTGACCTTAGACAATTTGGCAGAAACATCCTACTTATTCAAGACCGCTTTTGACTTATTTTATGACATAGCTTATGACATAGACACTTAAACTAAAACAAACTGAGGAAGAAAGATTGGTACCATATAGAAATGTTTTTAGAGAAATGAAAACACAAAAATGTCAGGCAGGAAGTATAGTGTATTTCCTTAAAGTTACAGGAAGTGTTCCTGCCTCCCCTTCCCCCTCCTCCTCCTCTTCTACTTCTGCCACCCCTGGGACAGGAAGACCAACCTCTCCTCTTCCTCTTCCTCCTCAGCCACACTTAACATGAAGATAAAGAGGATAAAGACCTTTATAATGATCCACTTCCACTTAATGAATATAAATATATTTTCCTCTTATTTATGATTTTCTTAATAACATTTTCTTTTCTCTAACTTATTCAAAAATACAGTACATGATACATATATCATACAAAATGTGTGTTAATTGACTATTTATATTACTGGTAAGACTTCCAGTCAAAAACAGGCTATTAGTAATTTATTTTTTGAGGAGTCAAAAGTTATATGTGGATTTTCAACTATGCAAGGTCAGTGCCCCACTCCCTAAATTGTTCAATGGTCAACTCTACTACACTTATATACGTACACATTTATACATTGCGTCATTAAAATACTATTCAAGTATGTATCTCTTGCTTCGAAAAATTCCAAACTAAAGAAATTCTAATTAAGTCTGACAAGAATTTTGATCAGCTTTGTTCCAAATCCTGTCAACAACAAGTATATCTTATTCCCATTGCTGTCAAGTATATCTAAATTCTGGTAAATATACAATACATGACAATTGATACTCTGCCAACTCAACATACAGGATGGGTTTGAAAATAACATAAGGCACAAGGCAAAAAACCTTGGATCCAGGAATGAAAGGTCAACCTATACATAATTATTAACTTATTGATTCTTTTAGAGTGTCTACTACTACTAGCAAGCACCTTTATGTTCCACTATACTGAACAAGTTAGTGGCATTATAGTAGAAGGGGTGTTATAATACTTCCATTTTTGGAAAACAACTTATTCTAAGTTACAGACTTTGGGTTTATTTAAGGTGGGTAAGCCTATGGACAGAGGCAGAATACATACTCTCATTAAATAAAGGTGTTTAACAAGGGGCATTTTATTATCCTTATTATTCCCCCTGATATGAACAGATGTGGAAACCAAGTCCCAAAGAAAATGTATCTGTTTGCCTATCTAATATCAACTTCCTCTTCAGTTACTTTGTTGGGGTTCCACTCTCTTTGGAGGAGCAGGCTCTGTGTACAGCTAAGGGTGCTAAGTGACATTTAGCCAATGAGATAAAGCAAAGATTTAATGGACAGGGCTTCAGGTTATTTTTTCCTAATACAAAGAATGTCTGGGATACACCTTTTATCTTCTTCTTTTCCCCTTTGTCCTGCCAAGAATAGAGTGTCATGGTAAATAAGAGGACCCACCTTTGTGAACATGCAAACAGAAGACCACCTTCTAAGAAAAAAAGCAAAATGAGGATTCAGGTCCTTTAAAGTATTGAAGCCACTGAACAACCCCTATCTTTCGGCCTTCTTGTTGGTTGAGAAAAATGTACCTTACTTGTTAAACTACTGTAATCAGATTTACATAATGTGTAGCTAAATGGAATCCTAACTGATATAGAGAGGCAATGAGGGACAGTGTCAAAAGAAAAACAGGGTTTCAAAGACTTAAGTTCTGTACTTAACTTTTATATGCCTGTCTTTTTAAAAAATTTTTTAATTAACTATAATTCATGAAAGTGTTCATGTCAACACACTTCGAAAACTGGGAAATATTAAATAACTATGAGATAACAATGAAAAGTTAGTTCTTGTAGTAACATTTTGAGCTATATGGTTTTCATGATAGGAGTTGCTAAGTACATTTTCTCATCTATGAAAAGAGATAATAACAATGTCTTTCCTTGTTATGCAGTTACCAAAATGTTCAAATGAGATAACATTTAAGTATCACTATTCAAATGTTAGGAAATCGTGGAGGTAGTATTTTTTTAAATGGTATGATTATTGATTTACATAAAATACCTAGTGATGATTCTATCACCAATTTAGCTGGATGACCTTGAGAAATGTATTATATTTCTGAGACTCATTTTCTCATCTGTGGAAGAACTGATTTAAGTACTTGTGACCCTCTCTCATGGGCTACACTAAATACAGTAGTACTGCTAAGTCATACTAATCTATTTTCTCCTATTTCCTTGAGTGACAGAATCCCTAATTTTAATTTGGATGGCAATTGAAAATAAAGACTACATTTCTTATCCTCCCTAGTGAATGGGTTTTAGCTATGTTTGGATCAATGGGATGTGAGCTAAAGTGATGCATATTAACTCATAGGTCAAATCCTCAGGGAGAAAAGACCTTCATGTCTCCCTTTTTACCGTCTCAACTAGTGGAATAGGGATGAAGTAGTGAGCCATCCTCAGTCATGCAAAGGACCAAAAAAGGTGTTAGCACAGCAAAGCAGCAAGAGAGAGAGGCCTGCATGCCTGGTACCAGGCAACTATTGTGACAGCCCTGGAATGTTTACATACTCCCTGTTAGAGAAGAGAACAATAAACTATTTTGTTCAACCTCCTATTTTTTGGTAACCTATATCCTAACTAATTCAGTAAGAATTAAAGAAAATATGTGAAAGTAATCCATAAACCATGAAGCAATTATATAACTAATCTTAAGGTACACTGTCACAGCAATGGCATAAATCTTTTGTAGCTTATCAAAGTGTCAACTTTAAAAACTATCTGAATTATGAAAAGGAAATAAAAGGTCAGATAGCACAAAGTAGATATGATTTTGAAATGCAAAGCCAACACTCAAATCTATCTCAGGGCAGCTGGAATTTGGGATTCACAGTCATTCAGCAAAGCAAATAAATAACTTGGAAGTAATCAAAAAATAACCTTGTCTGTTTCTCTCCACTTGACAATCATTTTGTGCAGTGTCAGCCACACCCGAGACACAATAGGGATGTCTGGAGTGAGTGACAGAGTTGTATGAAATGCCCATTGTTAAGTTTCCTAGGGTTGCCATAAAAAAATTACAGCTTGAGTATCCCTAATCCAAAAATCCAAAATCCAAAATATTCCAATATCTGAAACTCTCTGAGCACTGACATGACACTACGAGTGGAAATTCCACTAGTAGTGGAATTGATCTCATCTGACAAGTCGTAGTCGAAACACAGTCATTTTGTTTCATGTACAAAATGATTAAAAATGTTATATAAAATTATCTTCAGGCTATGTATTTAAGGTATATGGGAAACATAAATGAATTTCATATTTAGATTTAGGTTCCATCTCCAAGATATTTCATTATATATGCATACATATTCCAAAATAAAAAAAAAACCTGAAATCTTCCTGGCTCACAGCAACCTCAAACTCCTGGCTCAAGCAACTCTACTGCTTCAGCCTTCCGAGTAGCTGGGACTACAGGCATGTGCCACCATGCCCAGCTATTTTTTATATATATTTTAGTTGTCTCAGCTAATTTCTTTCTATTTTTAGTGGAGACGGGATCTCGCTCAGGCTGGTCTCAACTCCTGAGATCAAACGATCCACCCGCAACGCCCGCCTTCAGCCTCCCACAGTGCTAGGATTACAGGTGTGAGCCACCATGCCCAGCCAAAAAAAATCTGAAATCTAAAACACTTCTTGCCCCAAGCATGTTGGATAAGGGATATTCAATCTTTACCATAAATCCAGTGGCTTAAAACAAAAGCAATTTATTTTCTTAGAGTTCTAAAGGCCAAAAGTCTGAAATCAAGGTGTTGGCTGGGTTGGTTCCTTCCAGAGGCTCTGAGGGAGAAAAAGTCCCATGCCTGTCACCTACCTTCTGGTGGCTACCAGCAATCCTCAGCTTATTAAAGGCCTCATTCCAATCTCTGCCTCCACCTTCACATAACGTTATCCCTTGTGTACTACTGTGTCTGTGTCTTTTTTATTTCTAATAAAAACACTCTCATTGGATTAAAGGCCTACTCAAATCCAGTATGGTCTCATCTTGATACTTACTGTAACTTCTTGGATTATGGGTTAAATTGTGTCATCCAAAATGATATGTTGAAGTCCTAACCCCCAGAACCCCAGAATCTGACCTTATTTGAAAAAAGGATCACTGCAGATGTACTTAGTTAAGATGAGATCATACTAGAGTAGAGTGGACCTTTAATCCAATATGACTAATGCCCTTACAAGAAGAGAAGAAACACAGACAGAATGCCATATGATGATGGAGGCAGATATTGGAATGATGCATTTACAAGTCAGGTTATACCATGGATGACTGGCAAACTACCAGAAGCTAAGAGAAAAACATAAAAGGATAGTCCCTTACAGGTTTCAGACAGAGCATGGCTCTGCCAACATCTTGATTTTGAACTTCTAGCCTCCAGAACTGTGAAACACTACATTTCTGTTGTTTAAGACACAGGTTTTGTGGGGTTTTTGTTACAGAAGCCTTAGGAAACTAATACAGGAGTGGACATAAATTTGGGGACATGATGGTAGGTACTATAGACAAATGGCTCAATAACATTGACTTTTAAAAGCTCTAGCACATTTCCTACCTGTATATTCAGAAAATGGCTTATGTATAACTCCTAGCACAGGTTTACCATTTACAGCCACACACACCATGGTAGTGACGTACTTTCGAAGATCCTCTATGAGAAAAAAAAACAAAACAAAACAATACACACAACGGTTAAAGTAATGTGCATAAATTCAAGATGTTACACTTTATTTCATGAAAAATTTATGTACATGAAATGTCTTTCCAGGACAATAATCACCTCAAGCAAACAGAGCCCAGGGAAGAAAGCCAGTTCACAGGAGTGTTGATAGTTAAGAGTTCCGGTTCTATAGGCAGATTACCTGGGTTATTCTCCCGGCCCACCATTTTATTAGCTGAATGTCTTTGGGCAAACTACTTCAATTCTGTTTCCTCATCTGTACAATATAGACAGTAATTAAGCACTCATCTTTAGGTATAAATTAATTTTTAGTTTTAGGAAATTAAAATTTCAAGTTAGGCACTTAAGATAGTCCCTAAACAGGGATGTGCTCACTAAATGTTATCATTATTATATGATCTGGACAATCTCAAGTTTAGGAAAACTTTTTGTAAACAAACTCCTCAATATTCCATATATTTATTGCCTACTCCTACAAAGTACTGTTTTATAATTTCAGTTACTATTAGATATAGATACCTAGTGTCTCCTCCCTGTTCTCAAAATAGCTGTCTACTGATTGTCTATTATGGTTCACTTTCAGTGCAAAAGCACTAGAGTACGATGATGAACAAGTATAAGCTTTCACATTCAGAGAGTTTACTATCTAGCAGGACAAAGAGATAAACAACTAACTTTAACATATTTACCAAGAAAAGAGAGAAAAAGCAGATATTAGGTATCTCTGGGTAAGAAACAAGGCCTGAGAGAGGATCCATAGAAATGAAATCTGAGCAAGAACTAGGTAAAAAGGGTTTTGGAGGCAGTAGTTCTATTTTGCTACGAAATTCCTGCTTTCTGGGTACCTAGAAGTTACTATTTTGAATTCTAAGGTCATATGTATATGCACAAAACCTAAATTCCCAATACCCCAAGTAATTATTATATATTCTGGCTAAATCAATTTCCTCAATTAGAGTTGTCCAACAGAAACCATTTTGCTGCTACTGTTAAAAATATTCCTTTACTGAAGAATCAATGAGTCACTGATCCTTAGTGAGCCACTGTCACCTACCTGAAGTATGCCACAATACAGTGGTTTGGGGCAAAAAGAAAAAAAGGTTGAGAATCACTAATCCAGTCCAAGTGTTTCCTATAATGTGGTATTAACCCAGCTTTCTGTCTTAAAGTCGAATTGATAAAGTTAGCTTGGATTTATAAAACATCTACCACTGTGTATGTATCACCTACCTTGCTTCTAGTTCTCTAACATAAAACGGCAATCAGAAGTTTGAGACTAATTATAAAACTACCTGTATATTCCTGTGTAGCATCAAGTGGGTCAATCCAGACAGTAACGCTTTCTGCTGGTACCTCTTTAGGGGCAGACACTTCCTTCAGGATATCCTCAGGAATCTTATGATCCCATAGGATAACCTCTTGATCAGCTGCATCCACATGTTCCTCAGTATTTATCTGCATTAAAAATAGTAGACAGTTAAAAAATTTTTTAAATCACTATTTAATAAAACATAAAAGAAAAAAGTATTTCAGATAAAAATCACATAAATTATAAATAAATAAATCCCTATTCTGTAGCTCCTTATTGCAAAATGAATATATATTATAAAAGAACAATAGACATCTTGAAAGAACAGTGACATCTTGTCTTCAAATGCTTTCCAATGTAATGTTCAACTTAGTTTGCTGGCTAAGACAAGGAATTCAAATATAAAAAATTATAGAGAAACTAAGCATCAAAGAAAAAAGCTACTTAAAGCTTAATGATGATTTAATGAAAAAACGTAATCTCCTAAAGTATGGCAATAGTCTGAAAAAAAGTGAACACCAAGCAACAAGAGTTAGAGTATAGAACAACTAGAGTTAGGAAAAGAATGATAATGTACTTAATAACAATATGCTTAACAAAACGGAGAGTTAAGAATGTTGAAACAAAATACCTAGAAATAGTATCATCTAAAATGACCCATAAGGGAAAAGGAAACCGGAAAGAGAAACAGATAATGACGCTAGTACGTTATTAAACCCTAATTAGAAATAAAAGATTACTTCACACACACCAAAAACATGGTCACAGAATAGGGAGGTAAAGTCAAAATTTCTACTTTATTCTACTAGGATAAAATTAAAATATAAAATAAACCCTGACTACCAATAGAATATATAGGGAGCTGAGGGAGAATTTGTTTGTGTGTGTTGGTGTGTGCGGTACCTTATATAATACAGTATTCATTCATTCACAAATGCACTAACAGAGTACCTTGTAAAGTGAATTTCCAACGTTGCCCATACTGAGCAGTTTTGCGAGCTGGATAATTCTTGTTGGGACGTCCCTGTGCATTGGGAGTGTTTAACCACCACCTCGCGCTAGAGCTGCAGTAACCACCCTCAGTTCAACAAACCAAAATCAGTCTTTCAGACATTTCCAAATATGTCTCTTGCCCCATCCTGTGTGGAGAATCACTGCCTTTAAATAAGGAGCCTCTTATGGCATACCTAAAATAAGTGTGATTATAAAATAATGTTAAAAACAAGTTTTAGAAACTGTACTTACTTTAACAAATTGTATATACCAACATGACCAAATTAAAACTCTCACTGCACTTAAGAATTAATTAATACAAACATCAATGTTGGTTTCAATACTACTCTCATCATAAGACTTCCTCTATCCAGATCATAATATATCACAGACCACTAGAAAAATAACTCAAAATGTGGATCAGGAAGGCTAACACCCTAAGCAGGACAGGCTGCTGGTCCTATGCTTCTGCCAAGCTCCCAGCCTCCAGCAGTAGTGTCAATCCATTTGTATATTACATGTGATCCATGCTCAACCTCCATGCTTACAGTCCAGAGGGAATTATAGTCAAGACGACAATACTTAGTAAAAAATCACGAGCCAGGGAAAAACCCCCAAACTATCAGCAATCTCTGGAAGGTATCCCTGAAACCATCCCTAAATTGTCACATAAGAGGCCTAAAATAGTATATTCCGAATACATCAAACCACCTAAACATAAAATATTTATAACAACACATATAATACAATCCAATCATCCATTTCATGTTGCCTTTACTAATGGGATAAGTGTTTATGATTGCTTACTATCATGCCATATTCCAGGCCTAAAGATATAACAGCTGATCCAATTGGACCACAAATTTCTCCTAGTGAACTAGATCCTAAGTAAGAAAAAATAACAAAGATCACAAAATAAACACATAGTAATGCTGAAAGTGGGAAGAGGAGAAAATAAGACAGCAAAGTGTGTTGCTGGACGAGTAGAGGATGATACTCTTTAAGAAGGGTGCTAGATTATCATAATAGCCCCAAAATTGAAACTACCTTAGTATCTATCAAGCATTGATAAATGGAAATAAACATATTATGAGATAATGCATAACAAAAATAAGGAAAGTCATTCAGCATAAATTAGGAATGAAGTTCAATCATTCTAGACGAGGCTGTATCCCCTTGCTTGTGGAAAGAAGCCACAAGAGACCATGATACTATATGATCCATTAAAGTAAAATGTTAAAATAGGCAAATCTGAGACAGACAGATTAGTAGTTGCCTGGGTTAGGTGGGTGAAATAGGATTAATAGTAAAGAATACGAGGCGATGATTATTAGACGTGATGAAAAAGTCTAAAACTGATTAACATGACAATATTGCACTACTTGCAAATTCTACTAAAAATCAACCTGAATTGTACACTTGAAATAGGCAAGTGCTCGAGACATTGGTGTACGAGTCAAGATCCCAAGACATCGGAAGCTCATAGAGGATAAAGCTAGACAGGAGTTAGAGCAGTGAAGCTAGGATGCAACACTACATCAGCCCGACAAGCGGAGTAAGACCCTATCTCAAGAAAAAGAAATAGCAAATACAATGATAACATTACAAAACTATGCTGAAAGTTATAAATAAATAAAAAGATAAGGCAATGTAGGAAGCCCCACTGAAAATGTGGTATTTCAGTGAGACGATCTACAAGGAGTGAGCTGCAGGCATGAAAGAATGCATTCCAGCCCAATGAACCAACACACTGCAAGAGACCCTAAGGTGGGAATGTGCCTGTGTGTTAGCAGGACATGGAAGGAGGCCCCAGCAAGCTAAAGCAGAGGAGGGCCAAGGAGAAAGGCCCACCTGAGATGAGTCAGAGAGTAATGAAGCAGATGGTGAGCACAACACAGAGCCAGCTGCCCTCCCAAAAACCTCATAGACCTCCATTAATCATCGTGCAAGGTCCTAGCCCATTGCAGTCAGCTAAAGGGAGAGAATGAGGCATGTGTGGGGAGGTACAAAGATTAGAAAGGAAAAAACAACAACCATAAAAATGCATTTGATTACTGAGCACCTAAAAAACCAAAGAACTTGCACATAAATGTAACTCCAATAAAAATCCCTACAGTTTTTTTTCCTCTCCCTTGGAAATCGGCAAACCATTTCTGAATTTTACAGGACAGCAAACAAAAGACAGAAAGGGCCACCACATTTTGTTTAATCTATATACTAACAATACCCAAATTAGCAAGTCACATCAGGGGTCAGTACATAATTATTGAATACAGATGCTCTTCAACTTACGACTGGCTACATCCTGATAAAGTCATCGTAAGTTGAAAATATCTTAAGCAAAATGCATTGAACACCTAACCTAGCAAACAGCATAGCTTACCCTAGCCTACCTTAAATAGCACAGAACACTTACACTGGTCTAGAGTTGGGGCAAAATTCCGGCAAAACCTATTTTATAAAGTATTGAATATCTCCTGTAATTTATTGACTACTATACTGAAAGTAAAAACAAATGGTTGTACAGGTACTCAAAGTATAGTTTCTAACTGATTGCATATTGCTTTTGCACCATCTAAATTCAAAAAATTGTTAAGATGAACCATCTTAAGCTGGAGACCATCGCTTAAGGTTCTTAAGACAAGTCTGCCTACTATTTGATTATAGTACATAATACCTACATGTACATATACATTAAACATATATACACATACAATATTAGGCTAGTTTGTATCTCGGCTTCAGAAAAGGGAAGGAAACTATTCTTCATCAATATTGTCAAAGCTCAAGACCCCAAAACACAAATTAATAGTATTACAGTTCAATTACTTGAGGCTGAAGGGACTTTTGGCATTTTAAGGTATTTTGGTTAATGCCTTAACAAAAATCAACCATTTACTGCCATTTCTCAGTAGAATCATCATATCCTAGTAAGTATTTGGATACCAGTATTCTCACAGCAGTGCCTACTACATACTAGGTGATGGTTAATTTTTGTATGTCAACTTGACTGGATCATGGGGAGCCCAGAGTACTACACATTGTTTATGGTTGTGTCTGTGAGGGTGTTTCCAGATAAATTAGCATTTGAATCAGTAGACTCAGTAAAGTATTAACAGATTGCCTCCCCTAATGTGGGTGGGCAGCATTCAATCCTTTGAGGCCGAGTAGAACACAAAAGGAGGAGGAAGAGAGAATTTGCCCCTTTTTCGCCTGACCACTGAGCTGAGCTGGGAATCAGTTTTCTGCTGCCCTCCAAGTGAGATACCACTGGTTTTAGGCCTTTGAAACCTATATAGACTGAATACACTCAGCTTTCCTGGGTTCCAGCTTAGTTTGTAGATGACAGATCATGGGACTTCTTCATCCTCCATAATCACAGGACCCAATTTCTTATAATAAATCTCTATTGGTTGTGTTTCTTGTTGAACCTTGACCAATACAGTAGGCATTCAATAACTGTTTTTCTAAATCTATAATAAACATTCCTGCTACTTGCCCTATTCTCTTTCCAACTTTTTAGAAGCCTTTCATTATCAACTTACTATCTCTCAAATATATTCCTATAAATGAGTAAACATGTATAGTGACTAACATCTTAAAACGATATACCAAAAAAAAACACAAAAAAAACACAGAAATTTTCTCTTAGTCCCATAAAACACTCTAGCCAACTTCCTCAGAAGCCCATTTCTACTCACTGTCACTTCCTTACCTCCCAATCACAGATTGTCTTGAGTTCAAATTCCGACTCCTCAATTTTATTGTATGGACCAACTAGGCTAGCCACCTAACCTTTCTGAACTACAGTTACCTCACAGGTAAAAAGGGAGCAATATAAAGACTTCCTATAAGGTGTTAAGAGAAATCAATGAACAAACTTAGTACAGCGCTTAACACAGGGTAAGCATTTAATAAAGGTTGGCTGTATTATTTTTATGAAATGATTGGTTTTACTATAGAGTCCATTAAAAGTAAAATGTTAGAATAGGCAAATCTGAGACAGACAGATAGTAGTGCCTGGGTAGTGGGTAAATAAGGATTAATAGTAAAAGAATACGAGATATTATAGAGTGATGAAAAGTCTAAACTGATTAATGACAATAGTTGCACTACTTGGCAATCTACTAAAATTCACACTGAATTGTACACTGAAATAGGCAATGCCTGCATTGGTGTTACGAGTGCTGTATCCCAGACTTACCAGAATCAATGAGTCACTGATCCTTAGTGAGCCACTGTCACCTACCTGAAGTACGCCACAATACAGTGGTTTGGGGCAAAAAGAAAAAAAGGTTGAGAATCACTAATCCAGTCCAAGTGTTTCCTATAATGTGGTATTAACCCAGCTTTCTGTCTTAAAGTTGAATTGATAAAGTTAGCTTGGATTTATAAAACATCTACCACTGTGTATGTATCGCCTACCTTGCTTCTAGTTCTCTAACATAAAACGGCAATCAGAAGTTTGAGACTAATTATAAAACTACCTGTATATTCCTGTGTAGCATCAAGTGGGTCAATCCAGACAGTAACGCTTTCTGCTGGTACCTCTTTAGGGGCAGACACTTCCTTCAGGATATCCTCAGGAATCTTATGATCCCATAGGATAACCTCTTGATCAGCTGCATCCACATGTTCCTCAGTATTTATCTGCATTAAAAATAGCAGACAGTTAAAAAAATTTTTTAATCACTATTTAATAAAACATAAAAGAAAAAAGTATTTCAGACAAAAATCACATAAATTGTAAATAAATAAATCCCTATTCTGTAGCTCCTTATTGCAAAATGAATATGTATTACAAAAGAACAATAGACATCTTGAAAGAACAGTGACATCTTGTCTTCAAATGCTTTCCAATGTAATGTTCAACTTAGTTTGCTGGCTAAGACAAGGAATTCAAATATAAAAAATTATAGAGAAACTAAGCATCAAAGAAAAAAGCTACTTAAAGCTTAATGATGATTTTATGAAAAATAGTATCTCTAAAGTATGGCAATAGTCTGAAAAAGTGAACACAAGCAACAAGAGTTAGGAGTTAGAAGCAACTAGAGTTAGGAAAAAAATGATAATGTACTTAAATAACAATATGCCTTAAAAAACGGAGAGTTAAGAATGTTGAAACAAAATATCCTAGAAAAGTGATCATCTAAAATGACCAGTAAGGAAAAGGAAACCTGGAAATGATGAAACAGATAATGAGCTAGTATGTTATAAACCCTAATTAGAAATAAAAGATTAACCTTCACTACACACCAAAGACATGTCACAGAATAGGGAGGTAAAGTCAAATTTTCTACTTTTTATTTACTAGGAATAAAATTAAAATATAAAATAAACCTGACTTACCATATAGATATACAGAGAGGAGAGAATGTGTTTGTGTGTGTGTGTGTGCGGTACCTTATATAATAAGTATTCTATTCATTCACAAATGCACTACAGATACCTTTAAAGTGAGATTTCTCAACGTTGGCACTACTGACAGTTTGGACTGGATAATTCTTTGTTGTGGGACTGTCCTGTGCATTGGGGGATGTTTAACACCACCTCTGGCTAGATGCCTGCAGTACCACCCCTCAGTTGTAACAACCAAAAATGTCTTCAGACATTTCCAAATATGTCTCTGCCCCATCCTGTGTGGAGAATCACTGCTTTAAATAGTGAGCTTCTTAATGCATACCTAAAATATAGTGTGATTTATAAAATAATGTTTTAAAAACAATGTTTTAGAACTGTACTTACTTTAACAAATTGGTATATACCAATGGACCAAATCTAAGACTTCACTGCACTTTAAGAATTAAGTTAATACAAACTATCAATGTTTTTCAAATACTACCTCATCATAAGACTTCCTCTATCAGATCATAATATTCACAGACACTAGAAAAATATACTCAAAATGTGGATTTCAGTGAAGGCCTAACACCCTAAGCAGGACAGGCTGCTGGGTCCTATGCTTTCTGCCAAGCTCCCGTTCCAGAGTAGGTCATCATGTTTATATTACATGTGATGCCATGCCTAGACCCCATGCTACAGTGCCAGAGGGATTATAGTACCGACAATACTGAGTAAAAAATCACGAGCAGGGTAAAAACCCCCAAACTATCAGCAATCTCTGGAAGGTACCCCGAAACATCCTAAATTGTCACATAAGAGGCTAAAAATAGTAATATTCCAGAAACATCAAACCACCTACATCATAAAATATTTTAGTATACAACACAGTAAATATCTAATTCATCCATTCATTTGCCTTTACTAATTCGGGATATGTTTATTGATTGCTTACTATATGCCATAGTTCCAGGGCCTAAAGATATAACCGTGATCAATGTGGGACAAAAATTTCTGCCTAGTGGAACTCAGATCCTAGTATAGAGAAACAATAAACAAAATACACAAATAAAACACATAGTATGCTAAATAGTGGTGAGGAGGAGAAAATAAGGACAGAAAGTGTGTTGCTGAAGAGTAGAGGAATGGTTACTCTTTAAGAAAGGGTGGCTAGGATTATTCATAATAGCCCCAAATTGGAAACTACCTAGTATCTATCAATTGATGAATGGATAAACATATTTGGTATATGCATACAATGGGAAAGTCATTCAGCTATAAATAGGAATGAAGTTCAATTCATTCTAGAACATGGCTGTATCCCCCTGCTTTGTGAAAGAAAGCACAAGAGACCATATACTGTATGATTCCATTAAAGTAAAATGTCTAGAATAGGCAAATCTGAGACAGACAGATTAGTAGTTGCCTGGGGTAGGGGGTGGAAATAAGGATTAATAGTAAAAGAATACGAGGATATTATTAGAGTGATGAAAAAGTTCTAAAACTGATTAATGACAATAGTTGCACTACCTAGCAAATCTACTAAAATTCACACTGAATTGTACACTTGAAATAGGCAAGTGCTGGGCATGGTGGTGTACGAGTGCTGTATCCCCAGCTACTCGGGAAGCTCAGGAGGGAGGATGGCTTGAGCCCAGGAGTTTAGGACTGCAGTGAGCTATGATGACATCACTACACTCTAGCCCAGGCAACAGAGTAAGACCCTATCTCAAGAAAAAGAAATAGGCAAATTACATGATACATTACATAAACTATGCTGTAATAGTTATATATAAATAAAAGATAAGGCAATTAGGGAAGCCCTCACTGAAAATGTGGTATTTCAGTGAAGATCTAAAGGAAGTGAGCCTGGCAGGCATGAAAGAAGTGCATTCCAGCCCAATGAACAACACATGCAAAGACCCTAAGGTGGGAATGTGCCCTGTGTGTTCAGAGGACAGGAAGGAGGCCAGCAAGCTAAAGCAGAGGGAGCCAAGGAGAAAGGCACTGGAGATGAGGTCAGAGAGTAATGGAAGCCAGATGGTGAAGGCCACAACACAGAGCCAGCTGCCCTCCCTCATAACCTCCATTAATAGTGTGCAAAGGGTCCTAGCCATTGCAGTCAGCTAAAGGGAGGAAGAAGACGGGCATGTGGGGAGGTACAAAGATTAGAAAGGAAAAAACAAAACCATAATATGCATTTGATTACTGAGCACTAAGAAAATCCAAAAGAACTTGCACATAAATGTAATTCCAATCAAAATCCCTACAGTTTTTTTTCCTTCTCCTTGGAAATCGGACAAGCCATTTCTGAAATTTACAGGACAGCACAAAAAGACAGAAAGGGCCACCACATTTTGTTTAATCTATATACTAACAATACCCAAATTAGCACAGTCACATCAGGGGTCAGTACATAATTATTGAATACAGATGCTCTTCAACTTACGACTGGGCTACATCCTGATAAAGTCATCGTAAGTTGAAAATATCTTAAGTCAAAATGCATTTGATACACCTAACCTACCAAACAGCATAGCTTACCCTAGCCTACCTTAAATATGCACAGAACACTTACACTGGTCTAGAGTTGGGCAAAATTATCCAAGGCAAAACCTATTTTATAATAAAGTATTGACTATCTCCTGTAATTTATTGACTACTATACTGAAAGTGAAAAACAGAATGGTTGTACAGGTACTCAAAGTATAGTTTCTAACTGATTGCATATTGCTTTTGCACCATCATAAATTCAAAAAATTGTTAAGATGAACCATCTTAAGCTGGAGACCATCTGTACAAAGGTTCTTAAGACAAGTCTGCCTACTATTTGATTATATGTACATATATACCTACATGTACATATACATATAACACATATATACACATACACGTATTTAGGCTAGGTTTGTATCTCAGGCTTCAGAAAAGGGAAGGAAACTATTCTTCATCAATATTGTCAAAGCTCAAGACCCCAAAACACAATTAATTAGTATTACAGTTCAATTACTTTGAGGCTGAAGGGACTTTTGGCATTTTAAGGTATTTTGGTTAATGCCTTAACAAGAAATCAACCATTTACTGCATTTCTCAGTAAATCATCATATCCTAGTAAGTATTTGGATACAGTATTTCTCACACAGTGCCTACTACATACTAGGTTTGCTGGTTACTTTTGTATGTCAACTTGACTGGATCATGGGGAGCCCAGAGTACTACACATTGTTTATGGTTGTGTCTGTGAGGGTGTTTCCAGATGAAATTAGCATTTGAATCAGTAGACTCAGTAAAGTATTAACAGATTGCCCTCCCTAATGTGGGTGGGCAGCATTCAATCCTTTGAGGGCCTGAGTAGAACACAAAAGGAGGAGGAAGAGAGAATTTGCCCCTTCTTTGGCCTGACCGCTGAGCTGAGCTGGGGCATCAGTTTTCTGCTGCCCTCCAAGTGAGATACCACTGGTTTTTAGGCCTTTGAACCTATATAGACTGAATACCACTAGCTTTCCTGGGTTTCCAGCTTAGTTTGTAGATGACAGATCATGGGACTTCTTCATCTCCATAATCATAGGACCCAATTTCTTATAATAAATCTCTATTGGTTGTGTTTCTCTGTTGAACCTTGACCAATACAGTAGGCATTCAATAACTGTTTTTCTAAATCTATAAATAAACATTCCTCTACTTGCCCTATTCTCTTTCCAACTTTTTAGAAGCCTTTCATTATCAACTACTTACTATCTCTCAAATATATTCCTATAAATGAGTAAACATGCTATAGTGACTAACATCTTAAAAACGATATACCAAAAAAAAAAACACAAAAAAACACAGAAATTTCTCTTAGTCCCATAAAACACTCTAGCCAACTTCCTCAGAAGCCCAATTTCTACTCACTGTCTCCACTTCCTTACCTCCCAATCACAGATTGTCTTGAGTTCAAATTCCGACTCCTCAATTTATTTGGTATGTGACCAACTTAGGCTAGCCACCTAACCTTTCTGAACTACAGTTACCTCACAGGTAAAAGGGAGCAATATAAAGACTTCCCTATAAGGTTGTTAAGAGAAATCAATGAACAAACTTAGTACAGCGCTTAACACAGGGTAAGCATTTAATAAAGGTTGGCTGCTATTATTTTTATGAAATGATTGGTTTTAGTCTTCATTATCTCGGTCCTAGGTGCTGATATTTCCCTTTCATGTTATATTTTCTCTTTAAACAATCCTGTCCACAAATAGCTTCAATTAACATCACAACATTGATGATTCACAAATTTGCAATTTCCAATTCAGACACCTCTTCAGATCCATATAGTCAAGAGCCTTTTTAACATCTTCCTTTGGACATATCAAAGGTGAATCTAACATAACAAATCTAAAATAGTGCTCATAATCTGCCCTCCACCCAATTTGTCATCACTCACACCCCGTCACCACCAATAAAACACCAACTATGAAAGTTATAAATAGGAGTTACTTTTGATACATCCCTAAAAATTCTTTCATATCCTTTTACATCTATCTTCTCTACAACCATAACTCCAAATCAAAATATATCTCTCACCTGAAAGAGTCTCTAATTGGTCTCCTTTGCTCACCTCCAAACTATTCTCTAAGTATCTAATCTGAGTTCTTCCATTCATTTAAAACACTGTAGTTAAGAGTACACTCCAGTTACACCTCCTTATATGCAGAATTAGACAAGCCTGAGATGATTCTCTGATCATTAAGTGAATCTCAGTGAGCCTAGTACTATTTTCTAGCGGTGCAACCTTTGGCAAATTATTTAATCTCTCCAAGCCTTGATTTCTTTGCCCAAAAATTGGAGGCTATGGAACTTAACCTCTTATGTTCTTATGAAGATAAATTAATAACAGCATTAAAAAGCTTAATTCAGTGTTTGCTACTTGCTACCGGCTAAATCTTAGCAAGTAAAACAAGCTGAACATAACTTCCCCACTGCCTGAGTTCTGGTCCTCATCTCTCATATGGCCTATTCTAATAGTCTCTTAACCAGCCGTATCTACCTCCAAATGCCCACAGCCCAAAGTATGGAACATTGCAGGCCTCAAGAAAAGTCAGCCAAGTCTGCCACTCTTTTAGTACTCTAATAGTAAACTAGAGATCAGGTCCAAACTCCTTAGAGCTTGGAATATGATCTTTCCCATGCCCACCTTTCTAATCTCTTCCACATTAATTCACCCAAATGCATGTTACTGAAACTAATCAGATTGCTTGAATTTGCTGTGCTACCTTTTGGGCCTGCTCTTTTGAACTAATTCCTTTCCTCCACCTTCAGTACTTAATGTGTGCACCAATTGCTAGTTATCCCAAAGAGGACACTAAGGCTCAAAGAACTTAAAAGATTGGCCACAATCACCTAGGCTAGTGACTGGATAAGAAATCCAAGCAAGTGTTCCTTGCATTATATTAGTACTTCTCAAACTTTTCCGGTGAGTACTTCTATTGAAAGAAACACATTTAACTCCCATCCACAGACCAAAGCTGGTGCAACCATCTTGGAGTATCATGTTTTACCTTCAAATAAGTCATTTTCAAAACTTTGAACAAGCTGTGGACAGCAGCCTCCCAAATAAAAAGTCGCCTATATATTAAATCAAAACTATAAATCTAAGTTTGTCTGTTCTGTGGCTGCAAACCCACTCACAAAACTATCTTTTGCCTTCACTTTCATTGTTATCCACAAGGATACAATCAGAGACAGTGCCATGCAAATGGTTGCAGTTACTATCACTTTGACTCAATGAAATCAAGCATTGCCAAAGTGTTTAGGAAGAGGGATTCCCCTAAGATCCCTAACCTGAGAAAGACTCAAGACATAAGGAAATCCATGGATCCTAGGTCAAATCGGGGTTTTGTTAAAACAGCACTCACTTCTCTGGAGTATGTTTTTTCAACGTGGGCATCTACTGACAAACTAGTCTAGATAATTCTTTGTTGGGCAGAGGGCGGGGGGGACTGTCCTGTATATGGTAGGATGTTTACCTTCTACCCACTAGATGCCGACAGCACTCCAACCCTGCCTGTGATAGCCAAAAATGTCTCCAGACATTGCCAAATGTCCCTTAGGGGGCAATACTGTCCTTAGTTGAGTGCTCTAGAATGAATCCTGGTATATACTTTTTACTGAGGAGAGAACATTAGATAGGAAAGCTCAGGTCTCAGTCTCTAGACAGGAAGATAGTGGGAGAAAACAGACATTTCTTCATTTATACAGGACACTAGGATAAATGGAAGGAGTATCTGTTGCTTCTCAATGGTCATTTTCCATTAGGAAGTAAAATGAGTGAGATGTGATTTAAGTTTCTTACCAAAAAAGTTTGGGTGAGGCTTGAAAAACAACCAGGCAGTTAAGACTGTATTTCTGGGCACTGAGGGAAAAGCAGACAGAATCTTAGGCTGAGTCTCTTCTTTGATGGCTACATTTGGCTTCCAGTCAAGTAACATACGGGTATTAGGAGATAGCTCAACATGACACTATCCCTACTTTGACACTATGTAAATGAACACAACCTCCTCTATTCCATCAATCACAATCTAACATGCATACTACAGATGTATGTGGAAATATTCAAATAGTCACAAGAAAACAAAGTTATTTTATATTAAGTCAGAGACGTCAACATCTGCAATTCCAAAAGCTTAGCTTTTGTGTTTAATAAAACACAGCTCACTACCCTTGGCAGTTATTCCCTTATTGTTTGCTAATAAGTGAGAATATACATGCATACACAGATGTGTTTTCAATATTTAAGATATTTTTGTCTTTAGCTTTAAAAACATAATGCAACCCTGCTTCCCATATTTCACTATTACTGCTTTTAAGTTTTACAATTTTAAGTTTTTACCACAAAATCATACTGTAAGTTTTAAGTAGCCTCATAAAGAACCAGTTAAAATAGTTCACATAAGCTGTGGAGTGTATGAACATCAAATTTTCCATATATAAAGCAGCACAAATAAAATTTTGCTTCTTAAAGGATGAAATAAAGTCCTGTGTGGTCAGTATTTGGGCATCTAGGCTATATTCAATAATTGGTTATTATTAGCACTGTTATAACTATTACATATCAACTTTGCTGAAATTCCTGTTTCTTCTATAAATTCTTAGGGAAGGAAGCACATGTGTTTTGGAGAAGAAAGAAAGCTATTTCACAGGCACATCTTACATCTAGATACAAAAAAGGATAAATATTATTTGTGATGATAAAACAGAGTAAAGCAAAACAAAGGAAAAGTAGAAATATTCTAGTTTGAGCAGAAATTTGAAAACTAATGTCAATGACATCTGGTATCCAGCAGCTCATGACAGGAAACCCAAAGTTCCTTTTTGCTGGGGGAGGGAAAAGTAGACAAAAAGACAAAAGAAAGGGGAGGAAAGGAGGAGGCAAACAATAGAAGATAGGTAATTGGAAAAGGTTACAGAAAACACGTAATTCAACAATGACAATACCCTCCCAACTCTTAGAAAAGTAAAAGATCAATTAGGTATCTTCCAAAGAAGCCTGGGTTTAGATAATACTGTTTATCTAATTAATAAAATTCTGCTGGAAACAATTTTTCTTCCCAGTAGCCAAAACCTACTGTTAGGTGAGTTAAGGATGCACATTTATAAGGTACTGCTACACTATGTTAAGTGCTTCCTCTGGAATTGCAATAAATTTTAAAAAGCTTTATTCAGTTCAACTGCAGCTCCACTGAAATGATGAATTTAAAAAATATTAATGACAAATCCAAAATGCCTGGATTTCCCTAAGAAAATGTCAACTCCTCTAAAAGCCTGCCCAAAGAAAATGCAAATGTTATTCAATCCTTACTCTCTGGAGTAAATATGGGTCTTTAACCAAGTGCAAGGCGAGATCAAGGGCTGAAATGAAGCTGCTGGGAAGCATATTTCCAAATACTTCCTTGAAGGGTTCCCAAACTATATACCATTAAGAGCATCCTGATAAAACTACAGCTAAAGTAGTACATGAGCATACTCTCCTCCCCATCACCACACACACCCAAATGCCCTATATACTAACAGCTCTGAGACAAGACTTGTTCTTGGCCTTTTAGTTGGCTACTGGCAAGAATGCCAGAAAAGGTGTACGCTACAGTTTCGATCCTTCCAATGATGAAAGGAAAGATAGAGGACCTCGGGGATTTTAACCCAACCCCTTCATTTTACAGAAGAGCATGAAGCGGCGGACACGGTGAACTTTCTCAGCATTTTGGTATCAAAGCCCATTCAGAGCTCAGGGATCCAGATCCCGGGTACACAGACCGCGCGCACAGAACCAGGGAGGGGCCGAAAGGGCACTGGCCCTGAGTCAGACTACTTGCAACCTCACTCAGCCCTTTCGTAAGCTGTGTGTATAACCTTTTACTTTGGCGTCTCGATTTCCGCATCTTCAAAGCGGGATCCCCATGCTCCACAACCTGGGGCTGCTAGAGTCAGCGCGCCAAGATACGTCCCCAGGTTCCCTGGCCGAGGGGGCGCTCCCCCGGCGCTCGAGACACCCACCTGCACGCTGGGGAAGGCGGTCTTGAGCAGGTAGAACATCTTGCGGTTGGACAGTACGTCGCCGCTGGTCATCTTGTCCTCGGCTCCTTCGCGCGTCTTCCCCTTGGACTTCTCGTGGAGAACGTTGCTCTCTCGGACTCGCCTCACCTCGTCGCCGCCGCGCACGGCGGCCAGCACGGCCACAGCCAGCATCTCGCGCAAGTCCACGGCGCCCCCGTCGGCCGCGGCAGCGGGGCCCGCCGCGCCACCGCCCGGCTCGCCGCCCAGGCCGAAGAGGCTGAAGCGGCCGGCCAGGAAGCCCGAATAGAGGTGGTAGAGCACGCCGAGCCCCAGCAGGCAAAACACGGCCACCCCCAGCGGGGACAGGCGGATGCCCATAGGGGCCATGGCGCGGGAGGCTGGGCGCTCGGGCAGCGGCCCTCACAGGCCTCCCCGCGCCCGCCGCCGCGCTCCGGGCCGGGCGCCGCGCGGGCTACACCAGCGGCCGCTCTCCGGCGCCCGAGCGCCCCATCACGCCCTCCCAGCAGAGGCGAGCTGCGCCGCGAAGACCACCGCTGCAGCCCCGCGCGCGGACTCCGGGCGGCACGGCCCCGGCTCCTCCGCCGGCCGGCGGATGCGGCTTCCACGTTAGCCGACGGCGGCGAGGTGAAAGGGGAGCGCGGCTGTGTATCCGGGTTACTCGAGGGGCGGGGCGGGGCGAGCAGGGCCCCTCCCCGTGGGCGGGGCCGGCCCGGGGCTGCTCCGGGAGGCGCGGGCCGAGCTGCTGTCTGCAGTCGCGTCGGGCGGCGTTTGCGCTTTCGAGAGCCTGGAGGTGGCGAGCTGCCTCCCACACAGAGAGGGTACTGCGTGCCTCGCGTATGAGTGCCTCGTGGACACTCAAATTAAATCTCCCTTTGTACGGCTGTGGATGGCCGAAAGAAAGCCACAGCGACAATCTGTCACCCGCACCCATCACTCAGATCATTGGAAAACGGAGGAAAGGACCGCGCCGCTGCGCGGGAGACCTGTGCGCCGTGGGCGCCGGCGCCTTGCTTTAGGCCGGCTTTAGTCCGCGTCCGCGCTCCTCCGCGCCGGCCTGGGCGGGCAGGGAAGAGCCTTTCATTGGCTCTTTATTTGTTGGCATGGCTTTGCCGTGTCTAAACGCTTCTGTGTGCATACAGAGTTTCCGTTAACCTCCCTCTGCCAGAATGAAACGTCCTTAAAGCCGCTGAAAGACATGCCTTGATCCTGGGCGTCCACGGTGACAGCGCAGCACCCCCTTCTCCCGCTTCCCGGCGCGCTGCGGCGCGGCCCTCCTGCCGGGGTTGGGCGGGAGCTGAGTGGCTCGACAGAGGCGGCTTGGAATCAAGGTTGTTCGGAGATGATCGATCTAGAACACGTCACCTATGAGTCAATATAGGCCCTCCCCCCAAATGTACTATACAGAGGTATTTAACAGAAATAACTGCCTTCTGCTGTAGCACTGAACTTAGCAATGATAGTGAATACTTACTATAAATATTCATGTTTATCTTTAACGTTAAAATTAAGATATGCGGTTTCATTCTTAAATGTTGAATGTTTATAAAAAATCAAAATGCAGTCTATTTTACTGTTCACAGCTAAGCGGCATTGGTTTTAAGTGGGTTTTAACAGTAACCACTTTAAAAACCACAAGCATACTGAAGTTCTGGATTGCTAAGCAAGTCATGTAGAACCTGATCTTTACCACTTCTTTAGAGTTCGGGGCATCGCTAGAATTTGGGAATGGTTATACAGATACAGTAAACACTGACTTTTCCCAATAAAAAATGGCTTTCTAACTCTTTTTTGCCATTGTGGTTATTATGCAAATATTGTAGAGTGCACTCACACAAATCAAAAGGGTCTGGCCCACTACACACTTAGGCTGTATGGTACAGCCCATTGCTCCTAGACTACAAACCTGTGCATGTTACTGTACTGAATACTGTAGGCAATTGTGGTACAATGGTATTTGTGTATCAAAACATAACTAATGTAGAAAAGGTACAGTAAAAATGTAGTATTTAATCTTATGGGACCACTCTCATATATGTGGTCTGTTGTGACCAAAACATCATTAAGTGATGCATGACCATACATATTAAATATTATGTAAAACCAAATATGAGTATAAATATAAAGATGAAACCTCGGGATGACTTGATAAAAGTGTTACAGTGAAAACTGTAGCTGGTTGGGAGGAAAACGAATCATAAAATTTCAAACATGCTGAAATCAGATTGCTTTATGAGAATCTTTAAGTTTTCAACCCACTTTGAAGAAAACAAAACTGCTTATCCTAGAGGATGCATTACACATGCGGTTGATGCAAGACAACTTGAAACTGCAGCTAGTAACTCTACTCAATGGAAAGCACTTGCTTTATATTAAAAGATAGATAAATGAATATGTTTACTTCTTTTAAGTTCAAATGTTTAAGATGTCTAGTTTTTTTTAACTCGCCCACCCGAGTCCTGATTATATCAAAGGACCTCTTCTAAATGTCTGGATGTTCCTACTTTTCCTACAAATACTACTTTTCCTTGTGTTCTCCATTATGTATGAGATAAGTAATGAAATACTATTAGCATCTTAAATGTTTAGGACATTTTGGTTTGTCTAAATGATTTCTCACCCACAAAATTACCTGGAAAAGCTTTTTTTTAAATCTCTGCCAGTTAGTTTCCTTCTATATTTTCCTTTTTCCTTTAAAATGTGCATTGCAATGTACAATATCATTCATGAAAGGTTCAGGGTAGCTGAACTCTAATTAGAAGAGATTTTACTACTTTTCTGAGAAAGAAAACCAACCAACTGATGGAATTTTCCTGTTTAAGTTTTAAAACTTCCAAGAAGACTATTATTTGCATATTCTTCCCTTAAGTGATTCTATCCTATGCAAACAATAATTCCAGTTTTTAATAGATCCAGCGATATGGTGTTTGGTTCTGCAATTAAAGTTCTCTCTTTGGCAGATAATATAAGTCAGAGAACAATGGCTTTAATTTGTTAAGATTGTAAACAGTCTGTTTCTAAAACATGATCTACATCTATTCTTAAAGTCATTTCCCCCCAAGATTTAGAAATAAACAATTAAATGAGTAACTTTTTCAATTAAGGTAAAATACTTATGTTAGCATTATAACATCTTACTATGGCCCTGATCTTAGCAGTAATTACAGTGAATCTTATTAAACAGAGGCAATGTTGTAGGTATAGTCGTCCCTGGGTATTTGTGGGGGATTGGTTCCAGGACTCCCACAGATATCAAAATCTGGTAATACTCAAGTCCCTTATAAAAAATGATGTAATATTTGCATATAACCTACACATATCCTCCCATATACTTATCTCTAAATTACTTATAATACCTAATATAATGTAAACGCTATATGAATATTTTTACACTGTATTTGTAAAATTTGTATTATTTTTATTGTTGCATTATTATTTTTTGTTGTTTTTTTTCCAAATATTTTGGTTCCGTTGGTTGAACCCATGGATATGGAGGGTCATTGATTATTTGTACAATAAAAAGCTGGATACAGTTACAACTCTTTGAAATTATAATGACTCCATATGCACAATGTGAAATAAGGTAGATATTTTACATATCTTTATATCCTCTGACCTAACTCAGATCCTTTGCCTATAGCAAGAACTCAGTAATTATTTATGAAACTGGACTTATAAAAACTAGTTTTAATGAAATGTTGTCTATTATGTAAAGGGTTTCTTAAAAAAACATTGAGTTTAACAAACACAATAAGGATCCAGCATTTATTTTGTCTGTTTAAAACATTTGTTTCACCAGCATACAAGTAAGCTGAAATATGTATTTGTTTTGGCTTTATTAAGATATCAAATATTTGGCTGAGCATGGTGACTCATGCCTGTAATTCTAGCACTTTGGGAGGCCGAGGCGGGAGGATTACTTGAGCTCAGAAGTTTAAAACCAGCCTGAGCAAGAGTAAAAAAAATTAGAAAATAGAAAAATTAGCTGGGCGTTGTGGGTCGTCTGTTGTGGGGCGTGCCTGTGGTCCCAGGTACCCCGGAGGCTGAGGCAAGAGGATTGCTTGAGCCCTGGAGTTTGAGGTTGCAATGATACCACTGCACTCTACCTAGAGTGACTGTCTCAAAAAAAGAAAAAAATCAAATATTTGTTATTTTTGTGTATACTCTTCATTAAATTCTAATGCTTGGCAAAGCACCAATTCATTCCGTAGTATAAATTTTTCCACATTATATTTTATTCTCTGGGTAATCTGAACTTATATTAGGCATTTTGCCCACTATCTACCTGAAAACTGGGGTAAAATTGTCTTCTTAAAACTCCATCTATTTAAAAAAATACAAATACAATGTAGTATGTAAAATGTTTTAGTCTGCAGAAAATTACATTTGCATGTGTTCATCAATCATGATTAGGATATATGATCTGTGAAATTGTGTTTGGAATTTATATTACAGAAGAATTCCAACATATTACATATTGCTGTTACACAGGTTTGGATATAAAACAAGTCAAGTGCTGCCACCTAGAATGTAAGAATTCAATATAATCATACCATAGATAGTGTTTCCCTAACCTTTTGCCAGTGAAAAAAGGTGGAAAAGAATACAAGTAGATATAGATAGCAAACAAAAGCTTTACTGAACAATATTTACCCTTACTACAAGACATATTATTGTATATTTTGAAATCCTTTGATTTAAGTTGATTTCATGATGCCATTAATGGGTCATTGCTGGGAGACAATGCTGTTATAGTCTATTGTGTTTCTTTTGTTTGTTTGTTTGTTTGTTTTTCTTTTTTTTAGACAAACTCTCTCTCTGTTATCTGGGCTAGAGTGCCCACAGCGTCAGCCTAGCTCACAGCAACCTCAGACTCCTGGACTCAAACAATTCTCCTGCCTCAGCCTCTCGAGTAGCTGGGATTACAAGTGCATGCCACCACGCCTGGCTAATTTTTTGATTTTTGGTAGAGACCAGGTCTCACTCTTGATCAGGCTGGTCTTGAACTCCTGACCTCAAATGATCTTCCTGCCTCAGCCTCAGTCTCTTGTGTTTCCATAGGTCTTTCCTGCAGAGGGACTGACTCTCTTTTAAAGGATGTTATCTTTTCAAGGATGTTTGCATTGCAAATAGTTTTAGAAAATGGAGATAGTGTCTCCCTCTAGAGCAAAGAACAAGTTGGTTTCATTACCTATATTACTAATTAATAATATAGGTAATGGCTCCCTCTCTGGCAAAGGTCAGGCAAGGTAATTGCCAATTATAAAATACCCAGGGTCTTTAAACTCAAAGTTCCTCTCCTAGAATGCATCCCATTGTAGGTGCAGGAGTCAAGGCCCTCTTAGCATCACCCTGCAGGAATTGCGACTTGAGGAGCAGGTGAAAACATTGACAGTGAGTGCCACAATGACTTTGCCTCTGAGC